GGCGTGCAAACCGCGGATTCCTGCAATGCACAGCCCCCTGCCCTGGTGTCCTCGTGGGCCAGTCCCGGGAATCAGGTCTGCAGAGCATGGACAGCGAGGGCGAGGGGGCGGCAGACACCAGCCCCTCAAGCCCCGTGGGTCCCAGCAGAACACGGTCTGAGCCGGAGCTGGAGGCCAAGAGCCCCTAGGTTGGACGGCCCTGGGGACCCACAGTGGCCACCGCGGCGGCAGGGGCGAGGACGTTGCATGGGCAGCCCTGCCCGGGACTCACCCACCATCCAGTCCATCTCCTCCACGTTGTCCCCGTACACGCCGTGCCGGCTCTTCCCGAGGAACCTGGGCGTGGTGACCAGGGGCAGATGGACGTGCAGCAAGGAGAGGAACAGGAGGAAGGGCCGGTGCTTGTTTCTGGAAGGGGAAGATGGCCGAGTCTCGCCCGAGCTCACAGCTCTGCTCTGCCGTGGGTGGGGTAGGGGGTACGGGGCGGGTGCTGAGGGTCAGAACCCCATCCCAGCACCTAAGGACCACATAGGGCTGCGGCAAGGAGCTCTGGCAGGGCTGTGGGTTGTGTGTTGAAATGCTCATCGTCACATCAGGGGTTCAAATCGACCAGCCAATCGTTGGCAGAGAGAAGAGGCTGTCAGCTCCCATGGGGCTTGATCTGTCTGACTCAACTCCACCACAGTGGGGTGGGGTGGAAGATCCAGGAACTGTTCCCAGCCAGGGAACCTCGTACAGCAGTTTAAACCCACTTTCTGCGTGTGTTAGTTAAGCCATTTCATGTCAACTTAAAGAAAGAAGGGGTGCAGTTTAGCGTGTCCGTCACAGGCTTAGCCTGATGAGGCCTCCTTGTGGGCGTGGCCTGAGAATGCCCTCTCATTTTCCCGGGAGGCAGGCTACACACACTCCCTCTTCACCTTCCTGTGGACAAGCCACGTGGAGCCACGCTGATGGCAGCCAGCGCCCCAGAGATGTGTCCACCACCACTGGATCCACAGGACTTTGCACCCACCAGCCTGAGATCTTCCGGCATGCATGCACCCTTGTGTGTGGCTGCGTGAGTCAGAGGGAGGAGGGATTTGTGGACTAGTACCAGACTTCCGGGGCTCATGTCGGACTTAGGGACTTGTGGGGCTTACTTGCCGGGCTGCTCACTGCATGGTCGGCAGTTCAAAATCACCGGGTGTCCAGGGGAGAAAGATGAGGCTGTGGACTCCCGGAATGAATAGTCTTGGAAACACCTGTTCTGTGAGGTCACTACGAGTCAGCATCGAATGGACGGCAGTGGGTTTGGGTGACTTTGGGGAACGTGAGGGGGCTGGCACTGTGGGGAGTGTGTGATGGCAGTGGGAATTAAAGACCTCGTGGGCCATCTAAGAACGTTCCCCAGTGCAGAGAGAGGCCAGCAGAGGGCGTCCTGCTTGGTAAAGCGGAGGGGCAGCAAATGAGAGGAAGGCCACCCCAGAACACAGGGGCTGCAGGCATGGGTTCAGGCACAGGAGCATGGTGAGGACCGCACAGGGCCAGCGTGGTTCCTAACATTGCATATGCGGACCCTGTGGGTCAGAACCAACTAGGTCAGCAACAGCAATGGGATACAGGGCTGGACATTCACTGCCCACCCAGGCCTCGGGGACACTCAGCTTCTGTGAAGCTTAACGGTCGAGTTTGGAGATAGGAAAAGAGGACGGTTGTAGGATATAGTGCAGGACAGGAGGGCGACTGCCCGGTGCACATGCACACACGCAAAATGG